TATCAGGTTTTTGAACTGCCAAGTTTTAAGATGGGCAATGACCATCCCTGACCACAAGGTGGCAATGTTGTTTAATAAAGGACTGAATCATAGTAAACTAGATGATCTCGAGAACCACAATCCTCTTCAGAATAATATTCGCTGGTCTGAAGAGTATTAGAGACGCAGAGAGACGATATTGTAGACAGTCGTCTCCCCTGTAATGCATTGCGCGCCCTCTGGTGGCTAAATGTGCTGTTTGCAGAGCTCCTGTGGGTCATGTGCTCAGAAGCCAGTTTTCACTGCAGTGATAAAGCGGGCGTTGGAAAACAGTTTATAAAATTGATACGTTTTAAGAAACACTCGTATCTGCGTTGAGTCATACTATATTACATGCAATTACATTACATTACATTTAATTACATTAAAACTAAAGATGCAAGAATAAACACAGTCTTTAGCTTGACTGATTTTTAAACATATTTGAACGCTAGTGCTGACACGACGCGCCTTGCTTCCTGTAACCAATTAACGAGCTTTAATCGTGGTCTCGCGCCTTCGGTGTGGACTTCGAACCGCGTCGTCTTCGGGAAAAAGAGAAACGTTTGCTCCTTGTGTCTCCTTTCGTAACTCCTGCAACACTCCCCGCCCCCAGAATGACGGCGCTGTGGTCCCTCCCAGTCCGGGATGTTGTTACACAAGCCCGGAGCAGGCTGGGACAGACGGACAGGCAGCAGTGGTTAGCTGTACGGCGCTGCATTGCTCGGGAGGTAAGACTGATCTCGGCAGCCGTCTCGCTGTAAGACCCCTGGGTTTCGTACATAAGATCTGAAAACTGCTCTGACAGGGTGGCTGTGCTGTCGCTGTGCGGTAACTATTTGTGCGGTTTTTGGTAGTCTGGTGTCGGTGCCAAACACCGGGGTCGTGTCTCTGGCACCCGAGGGGCGTGTACGTGAGTGTCTCGCGAGGGCGGTCAGACTGCCAGAGTTCAAATATCTTAATTTTCCTTAAGCAAAGCCACCATGAGGCATAATGACCTTAAAACCATCAGAAGTTGTCCTTTGTCTTTTTTTTAACAAACCAAGGGAATGAGCGCAGGCGTTAGCTTCCGGCGCCTTGAAATCAACAGCAGGTGAATTTGCAGATACTCCGTAACTGTGAGCCTTTGAGGGTCATTATTCTGTGAAAACTGGATTTTTCCATATTTTTCCTAGTACAAACGAGTTGTTTTGTTTTCAGTAGTGAGAACAGTTCGAAAGTTCAGTTTCCGCTAATTTGACACTGTTCCCATAAATCTTTTGACTGAATGTGCTTAGTTTCTGTACCAGTTTGTTAGCACACAGTTATGGATCTGAGTGATAACACCCGGTCTCCTCTCTGTCCCTGTCACTGTCCCCCAGCCATGTGGTTACAGGCTTTGGGGTTCACTGGCCTGCCCCATTTGGGGGGTCTGGTTGGCGCACTTTTCACCCGGAAAGCGGTGCCCACCTGGTACGAGACTCTGAAAAAGCCGTCCTGGCGCCCCCCAAACAAGGCATTCCCTGTGGTGTGGACGGCGCTGTACACGGGCATGGGGTGAGTACTGCAGTGTGGACAGGGGCGAGGGGAGAGTACTGCAGTGTGGACAGGGGCGAGGGGTGAGTACTGCAGTGTGGACAGGGGCGTGGAGTGAGTACTGCAGTGTGGACAGGGGCGAGGGGAGAGTACTGCAGTGTGGACAGGGGCGAGGGGAGAGTACTGCAGTGTGGACAGGGGTGTGGGGTGAGTACTGCGGGGGTGTGGACTGCATAGGGGCTTGGGGGGGAGTACTGCGGGGGTGTGGACTCCTGCACAGGGGCGTGGGAGGGGGTGGGTGAGTACTGCGGGGGTGCCTCAGCAGAGAGGTGCCTGGTGCAGGAGTTCAGAATCGGCCCACAGCTGGCTTTCCACTCTGAGCAACTCTTTTTTTCAAAAGATGGTACCAAGATCGACCTCTTCATGTAACAACATCTGTTTCTGTCTTCCCCCCGTATTCCTCTCCACTCCCCTCCCTCTCCCAGGTACGGCTCTTACCTGGTGTGGCGAGACCTGGGCGGCTTCACTGAAGATGCTCTGGTTCCGCTCGGCCTGTATGGGGCACAGCTCGCATTGAACTGGGCCTGGACGCCCATCTTCTTCGGGGCACACAAACTGAAGCTGGTACGGTATGGCTTCCACTAACAGTGACCATAGCAGTGCAGCTCCATACCGTGACTCTTGTGCCTCGCTCGTCTTGAGTGTGTTTTCTGCAATACATAGAAAAAACTGAAAACTGCAGGTCGTGCTGAATCGGCGTGTGTGATTCTATGAAGAAGGCAAGCACCGATCGTGTTCCTCTCTGTCTCAGTCTTCCCCTGATCTCCTCCTCTATCACTTCCTCTTTTTGTCTGTCTGTTTCCTGTAGTGTCAGCCCTCGGATAAATTAACCAGTGGGGAAAGGGGAGTCCGTTATTGAAGAATGTCCATTACAACAGGAATGACGTTTTTTTCAGCCCCAGAACACACTATAAGTTAAAAATATATATATACACTGTATACTGGATATACTTTCAAGATTTATTGATTTATTCTTTAGCATAGCATCAACAAAGTCATGGACAATTATTCCTGTGCCTTTTTTCTCATAAAGATACAAGCTCGTTATTTCATGAAATTGAACATTTCGTAAATATTCTGTATAAAATTCACTAAAGCATATGAAACCCAAACAACACCCTTTGTAGGTTAATCGTCAACCCCTAAAGGGCACCATTGATATTCCTGAATTTGAAATCTATGTAGTATTTATTTTACCTCCTTTTCCCACAGCTTTTTTTTTTTGCATACTGTTAGTATGTTAGTGTATTTGTGTGTTTTAAAAACAACTATTATGAGCAGTTTGCCGATCCCCCTGTCTCAGGCAGGGTTAGTTCCGCGATAATGCCGATGTTTCCGAGCCCTGCCTCTTCTCCGCTGCGCCCCTGCTCCGAGTGGCCGAGCAGAGGGGCGCTGTGTCAGCGGCCGCTGTGCCATGTGTCTCCCCTGCAGGCCCTGATCGAGGTCGTGCTGCTGACGGGCACGGC